TTTTTATTAGTATGAATTAATGTTTTAAAGGTTTAACTGGTATTATAAAAAATTATTAATAATAATATTTTTTATAAAAAATAAAATTACAATAATAATAAAGATTGTTATTACTGTCATTATAAATTATAACAAAAATTATAAGTATAATATGCACTAGAAAAGGATAGAATAATAATCAAGATGAAAACACATTAAACTAATTATTGTTCAAAGTTATCATGACTTGTGTGTGATAAAAATAAAAAAATATTATTTCCTTTTCTTAAAAAATAGACCTTCTTATATTTAATTTTGATTTATCAAAATTGCTTTGATATAAAATCAAGTTTAATTAAAATTTACTTAATTAAAAATAATAAAATATTTTTTAATTAGACCTGTCAAATTAATTCGGTTTGATTTTCAAATTAATGTAATAAACTAATGTTATTGAACATTAACTAATATATAGTCCATTGTCTTTGTGAATTCCTCGACTAATCTGAATTTTTCATCTTGGTTATAGTAGAAAAAGTGTTCACCATAAGATTATGAGATGAGAATTTTTTTGAAATATTTAAAACAATTATTTAAAACATAAGTTTAAAGTGAAATATTTAACATCAAATTTTTGAAATATAATTTAAAACAATTATTTGTAAATCACCTTTTACATTAGACAAATGTGCCACTGAGAAAATATTTCGTTACATTTATGACACTCTAATGATGAAGAGTTTCTTCTAATTGATATTTTTAATTCTTATTCACCTTTGCTTTATTTCTTTCATTTAAGTTTTCACTTGATTCTTAATTAAGACAAAAAAAATAATAAATAAATATATATATATATATATATATATAATATAATTAAATTGGATAATAAACAAAATATTTATTCTCATTAAATAAGAGTAAGTTTTATAAATTTTACTTATAATTGATTCATTCAAGTAGATGACATTTATCAATTAAAAGAGAGTTTATATGGACATGAATTTTTCTAAGACTTAGATATTATTAAAATTTTGGTTAAATATACATTTTGGTTTCTTTGGTGAAATTTAATTGTAGATCTTATATTTAGAATTGGATTGATAAGTCCAACAAATATATAATTTTAATTATTTTTTATAGTTAAATTTAATATTTTTAGGATTAAAATTTGATATAATAGTAAATATGATTATAATTTTTTTATATCTAAATTAAATGGTTAGTACACATTGTTTATTATTATAAAATTGTAAAATGACTAAAATAACATAATTTTTAAAGTTTGAGAATTAATTAATCAATTTCTAAATATAGATATTAAAATATTGATAAAGAAATATGAATATAAAAATACATTTAATCCTTAATTTTTTTATTCAGATCATCTCTCTTAAATAGATGAGATGACTGAATCATCTTTTAAATAGATTTAGACGAATCAATAAAAAAAATTACATAAATTTCTTAAAAGATAACTTTGGTTATTCGAGCTGATTTTGTATATAGCTGATTTTGTTTATACAGATCTAGTAAATAATCAAATCAGACTTATGTTTATATATTATTAATCTATATACATGATTACACAGTTATTATTATTATTTTTAATGTAAATTTAATTTTTTAAATTATATTGAATTGTATTGTTCTATTTATGTTTCGATCTCATTATTTCGTATTATTTTGTTTTATCTCAAACTAATTCACACGTTTAAGATATTTTTTTATTTTGTAATTTTATTTAAACGTAATCGGTAAATTAAGAGTAGGCATGACAACAGGTGGGGCGGGTTTTGCCTCCTCGATTCCCGTCTCCGACTTTTTTAACCATCTCGTCCCGCTCCGATCTCCAGTATGGGTTAAAAATTAAGTCCTCATCCCCGTCTTGTCGGGTTTCGGGTTCCGTCTCGTCCCCAATCTATATTACTTTTAAAAAGATAATTACATTTATAATAAAATAATTTTATTATGTATTTTTTATATATCAATAAATATTTATAATTATTATTAATTAAATATACATTTTAATTTATTATATTTATATTATAATATGTATGTAAAAAATATTTAATTATTTTTTATTTATATATATATATATAAAGAATATTTATAACATTATTATTATTATTATTATACTATTCAAATATTTGAATACTGTATTCAAACATTTAATTATATATATAAGTTAATTCATTTTTAAGTTGTCATTTAAAAATATGAAATATATAGTTTATAAGAAAATATTTAATAAGTTAATTCTTATTTAATTAGTTTGAAGTAATAAAAATTTAAATTATCAATTTCTTTTAATCCTTTAAAATATAATTATTTTATTAAGATAAAATTTGATATATGATAAATAAGAATAATAAGATAAAAAAATATGACATAATAAAGCCTAATAAATATAAATTATAAATAAAATAATATTAGTTACTAGTAGGATTTATGTAAAATATTTAGAAAAAGATAAAGAAAAAAATTTACATTATGTTCATCAAATTAATTGAAAATATTCAAAAAATAAATAAATTGATCGGGAGAAATTAAGAAAATGTAAAAAACAGAAAGGTAAGAGAGAATAATGTAATAAATTAATTGATATAAAAGATTAAATATAAAAAAATTAAAAGTGGGTAGAAGAAAAATAAAAATTGGTAAAATATTAAAAAAAATAACCTTATATGTAATAGAAAAAGAAAAGAAAATACATTTAAAGTATTAATATTTTTAATTTTAAATTTAAATATAAAGTCGGGCGGGGACGAAGTCGGGGTCGGGATTGCATTACCCATCTCCGCCCGCCTCGGCCAATTCGGATTTTTCCTATCAAACTCGGGCGGAACGGCCTGGTCCTCACGGTATGCATTTAATTGTCATCCATAATTAAGTGATTAAAATATATATAAATTACTATTTACTTCGACAGGTGAGGGATACAATACTCATGGATATATATATATATATATATATATATATATATATATATATATATATATATATATATATATATATAGTTATAAATATTTATATTAATAAAGTATTATTTTACTATAAAAGATAGATAAGTGTATCTTATATAATTTTGTTATTTTTTTTTCATCTAAGAATTTAAAGGTTTAACGTGCCATTAAACAAAAATTTCAACCAACATTTTTTCAATTTCTATCGTATAATTTTTTTTATGTTGATTTAAATTTGATAATTTTTATATATAATTTTTTGTGTTAGTTTAAATTTTAATTATCAATGATTTTAATAATAAATTAAATTTGAATCAACATAAAATTATTTTTATTAAATAAAAAATGTAAACTTTTAATTCACATAAAATTTCACATGTTTATTATTTTTATTTTATAAAAAAGAATATGTTTATTTTAATTATCTATGGATTAAAATCATTACAAATCATAAAATGTTGTTTTTTTTTATTAATGTGAATTTATCTTTTAAAGATTTAATTGGAAATTAAGGTGAACTAGATTCAATAAAATAATATTTTTATAATATATTAAGTTTATTATTAATAATAATTTTTTTATAAAATAAATATTTTAAATATTTTTTGTAGTTAAATTTAATATTTTTAAGATTAAAAATTTATGAAATATTAAATATAATTATAAGTTTTTATATAAAAATTAAATGGTTAATACACATTTTTTATTATTATAAAATAGTGAGATGACTAAATTAACATATTTTTTAAAGTTGAAGGATTAATCAATCAATTTCCAAATATAGATATTAAAGTATTAATATAAAAATATATTTAATCTTTAGTTTTTGTTATTCATGATCATATCTAAAGATGAATGGATCATCTCTTAAATATATTGAGATGGATCAATGAAAAAATGGTCACATAAATTTCTTAAAAGATAACTTTGGTTATACAACATTTTATTAAGTTAATTTTTGTTTATACAGATGATCCAAGTAAATAATCAAATAATACATATGTTTATATATTATTAATTTATATACATAATTGGTTATTATTTTTAAATTTTTAATATAAATTTGATTTCCTTAATTATGTTGTTTCATATATATATATATATATATATATATATATATATATATATATATATATATATATATATAGATCTATTAATTTATAATTATAAAATATTTATTTAAATAAAGTATTATTCTATGATAAAAGGTAAAAAGTTATAGTCGAAGGAAAATAACTATATCTTATATATTTTTGTTAATTTTTTTTCCATCTAATCTCGTAAGCTTAAAGGTTTAACGTGTCATTAAACTACTTTTTTTATTACATAATATAAAAGAGCGAAATATTTAATTTTAAAAAAAAATTTGGTCACACATGTGAATCTTTAGATAAGTATATTTAATCTGTGAAAATATTATTCGAGTACTTGTTATTACTATTTTTATTATCTAATATATAAATTACAAATAGAACAATTGTTTTTTAAGGTCTGTTCAATGATTTATAAATAATTATTTTGACTTTTTTTTTTTAATTTTATCTTATTATTTTTCTCTTGTAAATTTTTTAAATAAATGAACATCTTTTGTTTAACTAAATGTTTATAACAAAATCGATCGAAACGATCAAAATCATTCATAAAAAAAAATCAAATTGTATGAAAAATAAAATTAAACAAGAAAATAGTAAAAAAACTATTTTACTTTTTTTAACGTAGTTTTAGATCGTGGGTTTTAGGGCTAAAAAGAAAATGTTATGGCGGCACATGTAGGAACGAGGTTTTGACGAAAGAAACACAAATGGTCCACGCTGGCAATCCTTTCTCCACAACCTAGCCACTAAGAAACGAGCACACGGATCGCCATTATTAATAAAATCGTATTGGCCGTTGAAGTGTTCAAAGTCCACGGTCTCTTATCCCCTGTTAAACCGACCTAACCCTCGTATTACACGCTTATATAAATATCTAAGCACCTTCCCTCACTTGCATTCATTCGCGTCATCGAAAAATCGATTTTTTTCTTTTCCCCCTTTCTCTGTCGACCAATCCTCTTCCATGGCTCGTACCAAGCAAACCGCTCGCAAATCCACCGGTGGAAAGGCCCCAAGGAAGCAGCTCGCCACCAAGGTATTCCACTTAGGGTTTCTCATTTTTATTCTAGGGTTTCTGATTATCATGTTTTCCAGATTCAATTGTGTGTTCTTGTTAATTTGCAAAGGGTTTCAACAATTGTTTCTTCAATTACGTAATTACGTGATGTTCGAGGTTAATTATTGAATAATCGTGATTTCTCTGTAGGCTGCGAGAAAATCTGCACCTACAACCGGTGGAGTGAAGAAGCCTCATCGTTATCGCCCTGGAACCGTTGCTCTTCGGTAATTCATCATTTCTGAAATCGTTGTGTTTAATATCTTTGTTTGTTTTTCGCGGAAATTTGAAATTTTTCATGTAATGATGGTATCAGTGAGATCCGTAAATACCAAAAGAGCACAGAGCTTCTGATCCGCAAGCTTCCCTTCCAGCGTCTCGTTCGTGAAATCGCCCAAGATTTCAAGGTTGGTCCTGATTCGTAACCCTCATTATTTATACCCTTTTCCTTTTGATTGTTTCACTGTGATTAAGTTTTTTTGTTGTTCCTTCAACTTTTGCAGACTGATTTGAGGTTCCAGAGTCACGCGGTTCTTGCTCTTCAGGAAGCTGCTGAGGCATATTTAGTAGGTTTGTTTGAGGATACCAATTTGTGTGCGATACACGCCAAGAGGGTTACCATCATGCCCAAAGATATTCAGCTCGCACGCCGTATCCGTGGAGAACGTGCTTAGGCCAATTATGTTAGCACATTTAGCCTTTATTTTGCAATACATTTCTTGTTTTTATGGTTTTAGTTTGGTATGGTTTGTTGTATAGAGAAAGATATATGAACAAGTTTTTAGCCTCTGTAGATCGTAAACACAAATATTTGAATAAATAGATTCGCGTCTTCGAACTTCTGTTGTGATTTGTTTAGTTTTCCTTTGTCACCCGATTAGATTAGTTTCTGATTGTTATCATTTACCGAAAATTGGGTTTCGAGATTGAAATTTAATTTGTTCTGCTTAGTTGTTGTTGTTTCCAGCAACAACGATAGGTGAAAAGTGATGAGAAAAAATTCAGTCAAATCATTTATTGGACGCGTTGGTTCTTCATAATGAACGAAGCAGATCTTATATATAGGATTGTGATAATTTTTAACGGTGGTTTAGGGTACAACGAGCCTTTACACAGTTAAAGTGAGTTGGGCTTAATGGTCCTGGGCTTGGTGAGAGCGAATGTAATATGGGCCCAGTTTACCAGATTGGGTTGAATATTTTGAGGTTGACCCAATTCTTTGTTCGTGTTGATGTGATATGGTCTGTTTTGTTACTAGGCTTTTTCTTCGATTAAGTTTTAGAATCATTATTGTTCAAGCTTTCTAGAAATTATACGAGGATCTGGAAACTTTTCAATTTTTATTTTTTTTGAAAAATTAAATTAGAAACTTAAATAGTGAAAAATATTTTGAATTTTATAATTTGGAATTTAAAGGAATTATATATTTTTAGATTGTCTGATTTTTGTTTTTAAATCGGAATACCCCATCTACAATATATTTTTAGATTACTCACTCAATCCATTATTCCGCCATAAAAATAAGATTATTGTTTTATATTTTATATCTTATTCCATAAAATTAATTCCATAAAGTTAAAGTTATTATTTTCTTTTCTATCACTCATTCCATATAATTAAGGCTATTATTTTGGTTTCAAATGCTTCAAAAAATATGGAGTTATGTGCCATAATAATTTATGTGATTACCTGTTCGTCAAGCAAAGTAACTTCTGAGAGAATTTAAGAATCATTTATTTTGTTTTTAATTGTACACCATGGTCCCTTCTCATTTCCTTATTCTATCAACAGAAAGAAGTTAAAGAGGTGTCTCAACCCATGAGATACTTACACGTGTCAAATTGGGTTCAAAAGATTTAAAATTTTTTAATAGTGAATTAAGGCAAGTCTACCTCAATTTGTGAAATATACATGTTCAATACTGGTGAGCGATAGATTGACCAGTTTTATCAAATTTTATTATTATTTTTTATTTATGGGTTAGTGTAAATTTATTCATATTATTTTAATTTTTTTATCCATATTTTAATTAATCAATCCATTTAATTCATTTATATTAGTAAGTCCAATTATTTAATTTATCATTTTAATAATTGAAATATATATATATATATATATATATATATATATATATATATATATATATATGTATATGTGAGAATCAACTCATTTATAAGTAATAAGTTTAACCGATTATAAACTTTTTTACTAATTAGATTGAACTACTCTTTATTTATGTAACTCATAACGAATTAAAGAATAAAAAAAGTATATAAAAAAAATAGAACTTTTTTTTAATTCCTATGCGGTAATTGAAATTATTAATAATCAAATTTTCAATTTTTATTTTTTTCTTGAATTAGTCATTTTGACAATCTACTCGGTAATAAGATAAAATATGAGTTTATTTTATAGCAATAGTTATTAAGAAAAGATAATAAAGATAAAATACGAACTTAGTTTATAATAATTGTAATTAATTATTGTTTTAAAATTAATCTATTTATGTGTGTGGATAATATTTTTTTCTTCATTAATAAATTGACAAATTAAACCTATATTTTTAGAATCTAATTCGTTGTCTTAATACTTCTACTTTATATTTATTATATTGTTAATAATTACACTTAACCAATAATTAAATTTCCATATATATATATATATATATATATATATATATATATAACACTTAACATTATAAATTTCATATTTTATTATTTTATGTAAATGAAATTAATTATTAAATTTATTGATATAATATTTTATAATAAACAATAACAAAAAATAAAATTAAATATGTAACTTTTTATCGTAATCTCTAGGTAAATGATTATTAAAATAAATTATACGTAATGTATATTTTATATTAATTACACATTATTACTCAAATACTAAATACTATAATAATAAAATTAAATTCTGGATATGAAGTTTGGGTATATATATATATATATATATATATATATATATATATATATATATATTATTCACTTAATAATTTATTAAAAAATTACATTTGAAATTAAATATTCTAACATAAATAATTAAATTTAAAATTTAGTATTTATCTCAAATTATATAAATAAGTTATGTTTGAAAACAATGAGGGGAAGATTGATGACAATGTGAGACATGTCCCTACATTGTCAAAAGATGATTTTATGATGATTCAAGTCAATAATATTCAAGACTCAAACAAACTCAAGATATGATTTTGATAAAGATTTAATTCAAATATCAAGCAAGTCTAAGATGATTCCTAATAATAGATAGAGTCTTAGAATACTGGATATGAAGGTACAAGTTGATGAAGTAATATTATGCAAAAGCCTCCAAAACACAAGTTTGATAAAATTTCGTAACATAACATTTTTCACTGTCATAATCAATTATGATGCATCAGAAATGTAAAAACAATTTTCTCTCTGTCATAATTGATTATATTAGTAACATAATCAATTATGTCAGTTCAATTTTGAAAAATATCCATTTTGAAGAATAAATATTTTTGAATACATCCTGATTTTTTCTATACGAAAGTATTAATGTTCAACGACCATTTTCTGATGCTATTTTTCTATTTAATTAAGTTTTGATAGAAAATAAAAAATACACAATTACAGAATTCGAAAATACATTTTACATTCAAATCAGTTTTGAGAAAAGAATTCTGAGCAAGGCAACAGAGATATTTTACATGTTTTGAGAAAACCCTCTTCTCCATTGCTTACTGTGTTTTCATTGTTAATCACACTAGTTCTTAGATGTTGACATTCTACAGGCTTCTACAATTTGTTGTATCTATTACTCATGTGTGATTATTCTTATTTTATTACCTTTATCTTTTGTGGGCTTAAGTGATTGATTGTTAAATTCTCTGTTTAGGATTTAAGTAGTCACTGTCATTCTATTGTGTTTTTTTTTGTTTGTTGTGTGGAAACTGTTTATCCCTTTGATTTATTCAGGGAAGTGTTTTCATCCCTTTGATTTGTTCAGGGAGATGTTTTCATCCTTTGATTTGTTCAGAGGAGGTGTTCGTCCTTAGTGAGATTCTAAGGAGGTGTTCATCCTTAGTGAGATTCTAAGAAGGTGTGTTCATCCTTTGATTTGTTCAGAGGAGGTGTTCATCCCTAGTAAGATTCTAGGGAGGTGTTCATCCTTAGTGGTTTCTAAGGAGGTGATTGTCTTTTGAATTAGTTTACTTTTTGCTGAGTTGATTGTAATTTGTGAACTGAATTTAAAAGATAGTGAATTGGGGTCACTCTTGTGTTAAGAATTGACTGAGAACTGGATATAGGACTGACTATACCCGAACCAAGTATAAATTATCGTGTGCTTTTCTTTTCCCTTATCTTTTTCACTGCATTACTCTCCTTACATCCCTTATTTTTATCTATCTTTCTCTATCTTGTTGATATTTTATCTCTCTATCGCTTCGTTTTATTTTTGTTTAATTTGATAATTAAAATTAAATTAATAAATATTAGACATCTTAAAATAAATTTTAAATTTGACATCTATTTTAATTTATATATTTATTCACTCCCTCTATACTAAATTTGTCTAACCATGTTTTCAATAAGAAAAAAAAAACCCCAAAACCTTGATGAGATCAACCCAATTGCCATTTGTCCAGATGATAAGCTGCATTTCACCATTCATTACATTGTGATCCAATACTTCCATGAACAATATAAGAAATGTAGAATCTTATCTATTTGAAAGAGAAATATACAATTGTGGAACCCACTTTCATCTCTTCAAATTCTTAAATTTAACCAACATTATTTATCATTTCAAATCAACTCTTTCACTTTGTCTTGAACAATACTGTAACATAAAAGGACAAGTTAAATAAAAAATAAAATATATATTATCGATGTATCAAATAAAAAGGGGGGCCCACAGGTTCAGGCCATTCCCTCTGAGGAACATAAAAAGAAGAGTTTAAAATGGGATATTTGACACTTGCATGGCACTTTGCATGGTAAATAGTGAAGGTTGAATTCCAGAAAATAAACCGTGGGTTTTTAAATAATACAGAAAAGAAAAAAGGTAGACCCGTGAATCAGTTTTGAAACTGATGACCCGTGAAGTGTTGTTATGAGCCACCCGTGAATCAAAATTCAGACATACTCATCCGTGAAGCTCATCCACACAATCTCTCATAAAAGCCACACAATCTATTTTCCAACTCCAACTTGATTCAATTTTCTTTTTTTCACTCATAGTCTTAGAATATTTAAATACTGTTTCTTTTGGGAATAATTTCATTCAAAAAATGTAGTAAACGCTGAGGAACACTCGAACTTGAATTAGGCGTGTATATGATAATTTCTTTGGATCCAAGAACAAAACAATGACAAGTTTCAAATATGCAGTTGTTAGGACTAACGTTTGCAAAATAAAATAAAAAAAAATAAAAAATCAAAATCGTCCAGTAATAATAGGGTTTAAGTTTTGCATTATTCTTCTATAACAATTAAAATATTTATACTAGGAGTAAAGTAATACAAATTTTCTTATTGTTTGAACTAAACGTCATTAGGACTAACATTTGGAAAAAAAAACAAGAATCGCTCAGTAATAGTAGGGTTTAGGTTTTGTATTCTTCTTCTTCTATAACAATTAAAATATTTATATTAGGAGTAAAGTAATCCAAAATATAACCATTTTTTTAGAATTTTCTTATTATTTGAACTAAACGTCAGTAATTTTTCTATTTAAAATTAAAAATTATAACTTGTCAATTAGAAATTTATTAAAATAATTATATATTAGTAAAATGAAACTTTAGATTTAAAATAAATCTAAGTGAATGTCAAATTATTTTTTTAAATAACGAAATTTGAGAGGACTACTTTTTATTTTTATTTTCTTATATGGTTAGATCCAAAATCAGATTTAAAAATTAAATTAATGGCAGTTTTAAGGACCTTAAATTAAATAAAAATATAACTTTAAGTGTGTATTTAATAAGAGTAATTCAATTAAAAAATATAAAATTTATGATATCATATTATTATTAAATAATTCATCGTTAATTTTACTTAATTGATTTTTTAATAAATTTTAAAACATTTATTTTCTTTTTTCATCTTATTTATTTTTATAATTGTTTCATATTTATAAAAAAACTAACTTATTATATTACATAAAAAATCAAATTAAAAATATTTTAAATAATTAATATTTTATTTAAATATTTCAATAAATAATTATAATTTTAAGTGTCTACGTAATAAGAAATAACTCAAATAAATTATTTTATAAAAATATAAAATTTATGATATCATATTATTCTTAATTAAATCTGATTTTACACAATAATTTTTTTTAATAAATTTTAAAATATTTATTTTCTTTTCTATTTTATCTTTTAATTTATTTTTAACAATTGTTTCATAAAATATTTATAAAAAAAAATAAACCATTTATTATATTTAAAATAAATTGCTCCAATGAGATTATGATATTATTTATATTTGTGGATCTTTCTTCTTTTGAGACAAAAATGAGTGTGGCCCAGTTCCGAATCAACTATCAACCAATCATATGATGTGTAACCCTGTGGAATAATGTACTGAGTCTATCTGTGAAATTTGGTGGTGGCAGTGTCTGTTTTTTGGAATTTGGAATTTGGATTGGATTTGTGCCAAAGCCATGTTTTGAGATCACTTTTTCTATTTGGTGATGTTTGGGATATTGTTAAAACAAAGGCAAACATATCCTATTTGGAGATAAATGATTTGGGATTTACACATCTTAAGAAGCATGTCATATCATTAGTGTCTGCTAATATGTTACACCTCTTCTGGAAATAAAGAAATTTCCATCCCTAAACTCTACAACAGACATTGTACTTCTTCAACTTTTGGATTCGAGTGTGAAACCAGAGGTTGAAGTAAAATTGTTAAGTTTTAATTTTTCTTTTTGTTTTTTAAGTTCTAACTTGTTATAAAACAAGATCTTATTTTATCTTCGTAACCCTTTTAAGAATAACAAATTATTTTAAAAACAAGTCGTCCGCTAAAAATAACTTGTTTAAAAAAATAGAAAATAGAAATTAAAAATTTAATTCAAATTTAGATTTGAATTAAATTAATGTTTTATTCAAAATTTAATTTGATTTAAAAAACTTATACTAAATAATGATGAATAATTTGTTTTAAGTGTGATTGTTTATTTTGATAACTATATATATATAATTATTCTAATATGGTAACGTAAGTAATTTAATAAATATTTAAATTATATTACATAATATGAGACAGGACATGAAACTTATAACATGTTCCTTCTAACGAAACTTATAACATTTTTTCTAACGAAACTTATAACATGTTCCCTCTAACAAAATATTTAGATAAAAAGCATAAGTCAATATTTAAATTATATTACATAATATGAGATAGGACGTGAAACTTATGACATGTTTTCTCTTAAAAAACATGACGAAATAGGTAAAAAACAAAAGTGAAAATAATAAAAATTAAAATATATTTTTAAATAATTCTTGAACATAAATTAAATTTTGACTATGATATTATATTAAGATTTCAACCTAAAATATTTGATAATTTGTGAAATAATCTTAACAAATAATTAAATTTATGTGATTTTTTCAACATTTTTATCATAAATTTAAGTAAACATTTAAACCAAATCATACTAAGAAAATATATCTATAAGAATACAACCATCTTTTCTCCTATATATTATTGAGGTGATTTGTTCACAGGTATTTGATCTTTATAAACTATATAAAACATTTTTTTATTTCAATAATGATGAAACCATTTTAACTAAACAAATATGTTTTAGAAGTAAATAGTGATGAATTGTTAAAAATTGAAACCCACAAATATTTTTCAGAAACCATTTTTGAGTAAAAAAAATAAAAATTATATTACATGACGAGAGTGGTCCCTTTCCATTCTTTAACTGAAATTTCATTCTCAACAATATCATTTGAAAAGATTGAACAATAACTAGTTTGTTTTCTTTTTCTACTTTCTTTCGGAATAATTGACTCTTATCATAAATAGTAATTAATTTGTGTTCGTGACTCTTCCTTAGTTGGATATGATAATTAATAGGAGACAACTCTGATTAACCAAAATCATTAATTAAACAGATTCAGTTGAATTTATTACACGTTTATTATAAACCAAAATTAATAACACTCTTAGTGTACAAACACAGAGGATTCTGTACATTTTCCCCAATCAGTTGGTTGGTTAATTTTTATTTGATTAAATTAAGGTTCTTTTTATCACAAAATCCAAATACATGCCAGTTATCTAATTTAGATCGACTAGAGTTATTAGAGGCAGGAAAACTTTCCAAATTTTCGGTAAATTACATTTTCATATCTTGAATTTGAGTTTACAATAATCTTTTCAGGCTGTATAATTGAAATCGTACAAGACACTTCTATATTAAAAATACATATTTCATAGAGATTAAAAATATACTAAATATAAATCTAACTTTAATATCTTTACACTTCTAAAAAAACTCAGTTTTTTTTTAATATTACTGCATTAACCTTTATTATTAGTTATTTTTGAAAACGAATTATGAAAGAATGATATAAGAAAGAATTGAATGTTGGCTTGATGACTCATAATATTTGGATGGGGTAATAGACAGGAGTCAATATATGTATTTGGAATATTTATTCATATTATTATTATTATGTAAAAGAGATTACCTTATTTATGATTGTTTTTTGTGTTATTTTTATATGATTCTTTTATTTTTTATTAAATAAAATTAATTTTAATTATGTGTATATATATATATATATATATATATATATATTAATAATCACTCAAGTAATTTCATATATCCCACTTAAAAATAATTATTTTAACATAATTTTTTTTTAAAATCTTAATGTGACATTTTTTTATTAATTATTTTTAAAATAATAATATATATTTTATTATATATATATATATATATAATTAAAATAAACACAAAATTTTAAGAATCGTGTTAACATCTGTTTATAATAACAATAATGATGAATAAATAAATAATTCAATAAAAATATAAAATAAAGTGAGAAGTGTCATTATATAGACATTTATGGTGTTAGTTATGATAATAGATAACATATCTCAATCAATAATTAATCATCTCATCCAAAATCAATAATTTTTTAGATTTGTTTAGATTTATAATACCAATAAATATATTTATTAAGCAATTTTGATAAGATAATTATAACAAGAAGTTTATAAACTCCCCCTCATAATATTATTCTAGTTACTTACGATAACATTTAAGAAAAACAAAGCTATATTAAGAAAAATAGTTACAAAAGTGATCATATCTAATAAATTTTAATAACAAAAAAAAAAACAATGTATCATATAACTCAACATGCAATAAAGCATAGAAAATATTAAATAATTGTTTCTTATAGTACTTTGTTTTAACATGCTAACTACTAAAGGTTTGGTAAAGTTGAGAAGCTCGAGATAAGGTGTATATTTAAGTAAAGAAACTATTATTGTTACTATACACACATTAATAACTTCACATCTTACATTTAGAGTGACATATACATGGTCCAAAAATAAAATAAAAAGTACTCCACCATTAATTACCCTAGTAATTGTCATTTGTCAAGTTTCTGAAACGTTTTCAGGCATTAAAAATGGTAATAACTGCAACTTATGCCTTCACCAAACTCTGTTCCTGTCGTCTTTCAAACTCCTGTTCACACCATCACACGTCTGTAATTATTCTTTTACATACTAATACGTACTTGGCATGCATGATCTTCAACGTGCCACATGATGCCCAGATAATATACTAAGCAAAAGAATCAGTCAAACAATGGAATTCAGAAAGTAAAAACTAAAAGTAGTAGAAGACAAACAATGAGATAAGGTGTTTGTAAACTACAACTCACCACCATCATCACAATACTCACTCGGTTAAATTTGTCGTCACTCTACCAGCTTATTAAGAACTTTTCAATTCACTACTTTACTGTCAATTAATAACCCAGTTAGAGCAGAAGTCGAGTCCTTCAAAATATAATATATATAAAACTCAATACTGATTTAAGAATAAGTTTCTATAAATAAATAAATATATATACTTTGTTGGTTTTTACACATTTATTTATGTTGCGGGTTGGGAAGATAAAAAGATTAAAGAATTTGGATCCAAATTCCCTCGCTTGGAACGTTATGGTGGACCACAAACAGTAGATAAAAACCGGGTGGTGCAAGAACGGGCGAACCCGGTGTGGTAATCTCAATCTCAAACGTTGTTGGTCGTCCATTCACGTTTGTCACGTTGCTAGGTTCAAGCACCAGCATCCTCTGATTCATGGAAAAAGAATGCGTGCTTAAAGGTGGCGCCAGCACCGTCACCCGCAGCAAACTCCGATTCAACTCCCCACCCGCCACGTCGACCAAAACCTTCACTTTCTGCCCGTACGAAATGCTCTTCCCCGACTTTGGACCAAGGATTGTCGGACGCACGTTATCAAACACCGTTTCCAAATACGGAGGGGAAAACGCTTCCATGCTAAGCTCGGTGGGGAATAATACATTCGAGAAATTGTACTTCTCGTGAGGGTTACTCCCTGCAACGAGAACCCTCCCATCACGAAGCAAAATCGCAGTTGAGTGATACATTCGCGGAGTATTCGTTGCTTTAAGAATGTCAAATCTCGACCCGGGTTCCTTATCTGGGTTATAAACATACGGAGCCAAAATCGGGTCGCGCCCAAATTCCCAGCCGGCGCTCCCAGAACTCGCACCGTTAATAATCAAAACGTTACCGTTTGGAAGAAGAATCATGTCATTCATGAGTCTGCCTTTACCTCCGGGCATTTTCTCCATGACCCAGGATGGGTTCGGGTCGGTTATTTTAATCCGAGCGCAAGTATTCAATGATGCGAGAAATTTACCCTTTTGGGCTTGAGTATAAGCCCCTCTTGGGGTTCCCCCACAAATTAAAACCTCAGCTTCGGAAAGAAGAGAGTGTCGGTTTTTCTTACGTAAGGGTAAGAGAACAGCGGAACCTGTGCTGGGGTAAGTCCTGGGATCGTTACCGGGAATGTTGGGAAACGTTTTAACGATGACGTTTTTGGTGTAGTCTAAGAGAATGGCTCTGTTGTTGGCGAAGATGAAGAGGGTGCCATCCACGTTGAGGAAAACGAAAGGGTAGAGGTTGTTTTCTTCCTTCGGGTCTCTGGTTTGAACGAGGAAGGGTAAGGAGTAGGCATTTTTGGCATTGGCGTCGGTTTTAGGATAAAACTCGTAGTTCATTGCACTTCTGCCGCCGACTATAATTTGCCGGCCATCGGGGAGTTTATGATTGGTGGAATACCAGCGGCGCACCACGAGGCTGTTTGAGATTTCTTTCCAATCGCAGGTAGAGCATGGAGAGAATGTCCTGACAACTCTTTCGCCGTCGTTGAAACCACCGGTTTGGACCAGCGTGCCATCAGGGGCAACGGAGGCGGAGGAGCACCAGACGTCAGTTTGGACGAATAGGGCGCGAAAGGTGTTAGAGGGGACGTCGTATTCGATGGAATGGGCTGTGCAGTCAATTTTCACGACTTTTTCGTTGGGGTCATTGCGGCAGCGACCGCCGGGGAGGGAGAGGTTGGAGAGGCCGAAGTCGGTACGATCGTAGATAACGACAGTGTCAGTGTGGAGGAGCTGCATGTGCATGGCGACAATGCCGATGTTTTTCTGGAGGAGCTGCCACTGGCCACCACCACTGGCGGATGTAGGACACCACGGCGGGAGTACGACTACGAGGAGGAGAATTGTGAAAAGGATTGAAAAAGATGATTTCATTTTATTTTTGTTTCTGTGCGAGGTATTATGGAAGAAAGAGTGCGGTGAAGTGAGAGAAGAATGTGAAGGATTCGGTGGGTTTAAGTAGTGTAGTGCTGAGGTAAGGAGGATGAATCACTATCATGAACTTAGAATGATGATGATTACGATGATGGAAGTGAAAGATTTAAGATGTGGTTTCCAACACTAGAAAGATTCAGTTTAATCCCCTCATGTTTTTTCTCTATCCTCTCTTGCAAGACATATGACCTGTATTCCCAAAATAATAATATACTTTTTAATTATTGTTTTACACAATTTATAATTTTAGGTACAAATATTCTTATTTTTCAACTTTTTTTGTTTTTTTAATATTATTGTTGAGATATTATTCTAAATATTTTTTAATAAAATGTAGTTTTAAAATAAAAGAAATAAATTAAACCACTGTTTTCTAACAAAAGTAGTGTACATTTTTGAAATATGTGAGCTTGAGGTAAAGGTAGAAAATTAACCATGTAGTAGTTTATGCACAAAAGTGAACATTTTATTATAAATTTATTATTTTAATTATATAAAAAAATATTTAAAATAGTAAGAAAGTTATTTAAATAAACCATTTTGATTAAGTTTTAAATAATTTTGAGATTTATAAAAAAATATTTAATTTTATTTTTAAATAATTTTTATAAAAAAAATAGAAAGTATTGAATGGAATAAATAAAGGGATGAGAAGTGTGGGGTAAAAAATGGGACGATAAAGAAAGTGCGTGTTGGGATGCTAATTGGTAAATTTTATCACGTGTGTGTCTATTGTCTGTACGTGTATACATGTCTTAAACAGGTGTTTCTCATCATTTTTCTAAGGAAAATGTTATGTAATTTAATTTATTTATAAATTTTGGAATAAAACAAAATAATGAAAAAAAAAACAAAAAGATATAAAATAATAGTGTAGCTTCGAACACATAGAAATAGAAAAAAAATCTCCCTATTTATTTATTTTTTGGTAATTTTTCCTTTTTCATTTTTAATGATTTTTGTTCTTCTGTTTTGCCTTTTCTTTTTTCTTAATATTTTTAAAAGTATAAAAAAGGAAAAGAAAGAAACCATGTATTTATTTTTCTTAAATTTATGTGTGAGGTGAGAAAAAGTATAGAAAGAAAAATAAAATACTATACGACAAATATTTTTCAAACATTTTTACATTCTTGCTTGTACGCTTCAAACTAACTTAAGCACGTCACATTTTAATAGAAACTTTAGAAAAACTTTTTGTAACAAAAATTATTATTTTTTTATAATAAATTTTCAAAATAATTATTCCAAAAAATAGAATACTTATCTTAAACAACGATTTTGTAACTAAATAAGGACTTACTAGAATTATCTTATCTAAGTAGATCCACAGAAATTTGTTTAAATATATATATATATATATATATATATATATATATATATATATTATAGTTTTGTGGATTAAAAGATATAATTATTTTAATTAAAGTTAATTAATCAGTTCTTAAATAACAATAATCAATAAATTTAGAGAATAATTCATAATAGTGTTGTAATAAAAAAAAATAGAAAGTGTAACTATAATAAATAAAGGTAATTTATTTTACAGGATAAACACATTCATCAAGTTCATAATTTTTTAATGTAATTATAATATTTATTTTCTAAAAATATTATATTTTTAACTCATTTTATTATTTATTGTCTCATACATTAAAGTTTTCACATGTTTTATTCATCAAAACGAAAGTTTTTCACATATTTTATTCATCATATTTTTCAATATATTTAAGAGTATTTTGAAAAATACACCAGAGAATTCGCTTATTCATGAAAAAAAATTATATATATTTTTATTTATTCTTTATAGATAAAAAATTTATTTAAACATACTCTTTATTAATATTTTTGTTTTTATTTTATTTTATATTCCTAAATACATAAAAAAGATGGATTATAAGAGAAAAAGAAAAAATTTGAAATATAAACATTATACAAAATAACAGAAGTAGAAGAGTGAAATAATTAACTAAAGCAATACAAAAATTAAAATATGACAAAACACATTTTGTGATTTATATGACCTATTGCCATGTGGTAATGAAATTGATCCTTAATACTTGCACGCATGTTCATTGGGCTTATCCTGGTCCACCTTTTCAATCATACACCTTCTCTTATTGACGCCTTTCACTTTCTTCTTTGCTTCCATTTCTATTTTTACCAGTGTTTGGAAAATTCCACCCATTATTTCACACGGGTTTGAAAGTCACTAACTTAGTTTAAAAAATCAATTTAATTAACATAAAATTTAAATCAATCAATATGAAATTAATCCAATAGAATAATAGATTGAATTTTAAGATGTAATTGATAAGTTATTTTTTGATTATTGTCATGAATATTTTAATTTTGAATAGTATTTATTTTATTATATTTTTATGGTTATACGAGTTGTTTTATTTTTTATGATATTTTATATTTACTATTTTTAATATAGCCTATGGTTGTTATAATAATAATTTTTATTAATATTGTAATTATTATTTTTCTTTTATAAAAATATTATTATTAAATTTATTATATTATTATATAAAAATATTATTTTATTAAATTCAAATTTTATATATGTTTTTACTTATTATGGTTTTAAAAACATTCATTCTTATTATAATAATCATATCCCAATTACCTCACAATAATAGAGATGGTTGCATTCAAGTGAAATAGATTTAAGTATTTTTTTTTTTTTTTGAAAATCTAACTGAACTCAATTCTTTCCCAGATGTTGTATATTTAATGTGAAGTTAAATTCAATTTGATTTTAATAAAATTATTAAATAATATTGATAATATTTTATTAATTATATATATACATATATTTAAATATTAATTAATATATATAATGTTTTGCAGTCATTCTAAAAATCTAAAAGAAAATATTTTTAAATTAAGAATTATATTTTTTCTTTTAAATTATAACCTATAATTCAATTGAAACTGATAAAGAGGTTATCAATTAAATTGAATTTAATAAAAAAATAAATACAAAAATCTAACTCAACATAAAAGATTTTTTTTTTTAATTGAGTTATATGATTGGTGTGAGAAAATCTTATCTAATTCAGCTGGTGTACATCCCTAATGACAGAGAACAATTTAATTATGTTCCATTTTTATTTTAAATAAACAACAAAATTTGATGTCAACCTTGTATCAAATTAGTGGATCGTATTTATTTATAATGAAAAATAAAAAATAATCTTAAACTTTTTAAATCATATATTTATTTTTAAATTTTAAGTCACACAAATAAAACTAATATTATTTTTTAAATATAATAAATTAATTTATAAATCTACATGTCCAAATGATCTAAGTCTACTTAATCACAAATAATGTTATTAAATAGATAAAATAATTATTAATTTTCAATCTACTCAAACCCATTTTGTGCCTTATTGGACAATCTCATTTAACGAGACATGATTTGTTAGTTCTAATTATAAAGAAATAAATACAACAGTTTCTTTTATTTTCTATTCAATGAACCCATTGAGTGCAGCTTAAGTATCATTAACCGTTTCAAATTTTACATTGTTTTTTTACTTTTTTTTTTTAAATAAATAATTATTTCCATTGAATTTTAATGGAAAAAATTATTTTAAAAGAAAACAAATTTGAAAATTATTAATTTTCGTTTTAAAAAAATGACATAAAAATGAAAAAATTTATTTTAAAAAATAATAAATAATTACATTAAAATAAAACATTTATCAAATACATAGTTACCCATACAATAATTTCAAATAATATTTTAAATTATATATATTTTTAATAATATATTTTTTTATATATAATTATAATTTTTAAAAATTAAATTACTAAAATAATATTCAATATATTAAAATTTTAGATATAAAATAAATAATTATATTTTAAAATGTAACTAATTTTATAAAATAACTTTTTTTTTGCTTATATAAAAGATCAAAGTAAACATGTTTATTGATAATTTTTTCTTTCCATTTTTTAATTAAATTTTATTTCTTTGTGTTTATTTTTTTAATGGTATTTTTATTCTACACTTAGCCTAATTGTTGAATTCTAATTGTCTTAATTCTCGAATTGTAATTGCATTTATTAGCTATATGAAATATTATAAATTTAGAATTTTAATATGTAACTTCAATTCAATCATGCATTGTAAACGTGTAGTTTTATTTATACACGTAGTTTAGGTTAGAGTAAAATATTCAATGTAATATATATTATTTAAACTATCAAGAAATATTTTAAGAATTTGAGTATCATTATAATTCAATTTAATATATGATATTTTTGTATTATGGACAACACACTATCACTTAACTAAATAAATGTAAAAATGAACTTAGGATAGTGATAGTGTGATGTTCTGTAAAATTTAGAGTAATGGTTCTTAAAAGTTTTGAAATTGTCATAGTTATTTATGATTTTGTTTCTTTAAATTTAATAATTATTAAATATATTTGTATATTTATAATTTTGTTTCTCATTTTTATTTATTTATTTATTATTTTTTAATAATATATTATTTGATTTAGGCATAAAGTGATGAATTTTACATCTGAATCTCACCTTTAACTTTTTCAAGTGTCTCCACCATCATATCTATCCGGAGTTAGAAATTAAATTTTCATTTCATCTCTATTGTGTTTTGGGTTTTCCTGTTTCGTTCCATTTTCAATATACATTATTTCTAAAAAAATAATTATATTTATTATAAATTAATTTTAATATTTTTATGTATTTTTAATACATAAATAAATATTTATAATTTATGATTTATAATTAAATATATACTTTAATTTATTATATTTATATTAAAATATGTATGTAAAATAAATATTTAATTATTTTTTCTTCATACGAATATAGAATACTTATAACTTTATTATAATAATAATAATAATCATAATAATAATAGTAATAGTAAGAACACATTCAAATATTTGATTACATAAATAAGTTAATTATTTTTAAATATGAAATATATAATTTATAAAAAATTATTTAATAAATTAATTCTTATTTAATTAGTTCAAAGTAATAAAAATTTTGATTATTAATTATTTTATAATTATTTTACTAAGATAAAAATTAATATATGACAAATAAAAATAATAAATTTCAAGAATATGACATAATACAACGTAATCAAGATAAATTATAAATAAATTAATATTAGTTATTACTAAGATTTATGTTAAATATTTAGAAAAAAATAAAGAAGAAGAAATACTAACTTTGTATTCGTTAAATTGGTTAAAAAGATTGAAAATATCAAATTATTTGAAAAGATTAAGGAAATATGAACAAATGAAAGGTAAGAGAAAAATAATAATATAATAAATTAATTGATATAAAAAAAATGAAAAAGTGGTAAAAGAAAAGTAAAAATAATAAAAAAAACTTTATATATAATGAAAAAGAAAATACTTTTAAATTATTAATATTTTAAAATTTAAATATAAAATCGAATACAAGAATATAATAAAAATTACATTACCTATTTTGTGCTCGTTACCAATTTTTTAAAAAATAAAAAACTTAAATCCAACCCATCCTTAATCAACTTTATTTTTCGGTAAAACTTAGTAAAAAGATTATCATCTTCTACTATTAATGATAAGGTTAGTAACGGTAGATAAGAAATGTTTTATATAAGAAAAATTTGTGAATTAAATAAGTACCGCAGATGATGATGGTCACGTTGCATGTTAGAAGGAATCTAAAGATTTTTTTTTTCATGGTTTATTTATTTTATATTTGAAATTTCAAATACTGTTTAGCTTTTAACAATTTTCCTAATAAAAGTTTATATTAAAAATTAATATTAATTGTTTGAGATTGGATTTTAATTTTAATTAAAACATAACACTAAAAGCATTAAAAATAGTGCATTTCAGTCTTATTCTCTTTCATGAATAATAAAAGAAAATGCATTCAGTTTTGTCATTTTTCATTCATGATCATAAATGCCACACGCACCCTTTCCTTTTTTTTTTTTCGACTGTTTCGTGAATATATTTGTTAGTAGGAAATCGATAAAGGGATCGAAAAATCAAGGAAAGAAAAGTCGAGAATCATATGACTGATTAAAAAACTGATAAAGTAAAAAGATGGTTGAAAAACACTCGACGACCATGTAACAGTATGGACACATAAATCAAGAATCAGAATCGAGAATCGAAGGAGAGATATTTAATGTCTATGGTTGAAGAAAATCGAGGAAGGCAATGCCAAATTCTCGAGATTTTGAAATCGAAATCGAGAGAAAAGTTAACACGCACGACCATCGAAATTCTGGCTAAGTTAGAGAGAGAGGAACAGTTAACACGCACATAGAACATGGGAAGCGGTTTCTAAACTGTGGCAGAGATCGAAGGTCAAGAGGGCGGTTATCTCATGCATGAGAACGTGAAATACAGTTTTCAAACTGTGGAACTGATAGACGTGCATGATGGATCGTGGTGGCAGTTTTGTTAACTGCTCTTGGGAGGTTACTTGGAAGACACTCTATAAATAGAGCAAAAATGAAGGAGGGGGTGGGGAAAATTGGCCGAGACAACATAAGCGCTAGTGAAAAGTCTACCGGAGAACGACGAAATCATGAAGTTTCTGGCGATCTGGATTTCCATTTTCATTGATTGTCTTTACTGCTTTTTGTACTTTCCTTGGTAATTTATGTTTCATGCAATTTATTTTGATACAGTTTACGTTTAAACAACTTTAAGTTTCTGCACTTTTAATCCTATGTCATTTTACTTTTATGCAAAGTCGAAATTCTGCATTTAAAATTCCTCACTATTTACACTTATGTAGTTTCGATTTCATGTTATTCTCTTTCTTGCAATTTCGAGTTCCTGTTATCTACTTTTCTGCAAAGTTCGATTTTCTGCTTATTTACAATTCTGCAATTTTCGATTCCTTGTCATTTACACTTAATGCAAATTGAGGTTTCCGCATTTATGTTTCTCTGCAATTTAATATTCTGCACCACTTTTCGATTCAACAATTTTACTGCTTTCTTTACTTCGCGTTACTTAATAAAAAAAATACCAAAAATAGTACTTGCGATTTGCACTTTAAGTAGTGTTGTTTGCATTCCTAAGATTCTCGATTCTCATGCACTTTTCGATTGAAAACTAGTTGCTAGCCTAAGTAAAA